TGAATACTTTTGTCATGCATTATTCTAGTGGGAGAGGAATGATTGTGTTTAACTACACATGGACTCGAAGGATGGTTTCTGAAAATGTACACAATACACAATGAAAATACACAGTGAGAGGAGACAGTAGATGTGGGTACTGAATACAGTAGGAGCAAAGGGTTATATAACAGAACCAATTAATATAAAGACCATTCTAAAGAAGAAGATTTCATGGGTTTTTTTTTAATACTGAATAATAACACTGAGATCTTTATTTATTTCATACCTGCTTTTACCCACAATTGAAGCCAGTGGTGTGACAGGAAGTATTTGAGAGATATTAACTGAGTGTTTCCTGCGGATGACCAAAAATCCCAAGCGTTTTCCAACCACAATGCTTTCTGTTTTGTGAAATTGCACAAAGAACAAGGAATTGCACAAAAAATGCTTCAGTGGAAGCCTACCCCACTGTGTACCTTAGACTGTGTGACTTTATGGATTCTGTCTTCTGAGCTCTGCCACGCGCATTTGAGTCAGAGACAATCAGCAGTGATATAGCATGATATAACGCATGAGGATTTGATGAAAATGCAGTTGCACACACCACTCTGCTACCACTGCTCAGGAGATCCAATCACCATCAGGACTGCAGGCATCTTTCCTCGAGACTAGAGCTGAGTGTTGCTAGCCTCAGCTCCTTGGAGAAATGCTAATTACAGGCACTTAAGATGCCCCATAGTTTTGATGGAGGTATTTCTCTTAACACCTGTGGGCCACATCGCTCAACAGGAACCAGATTCTTGAGATTGATTGCTGTGGCTGGATAGACCAAAGCAGGTGACGGAACAGCTCCTCCAGGTGTGGTGGTGTGCTAGTGTTTTTCTTCCCTTCAGTTTGGGCAGGTTGTGTACGGGCGGCAGGGGAGGTGCTTTCGCGTAACGCCCTGTTTGTTGCCCCGCGTTTGCAGCCCAGGAGGTCCTGGATAACCTGAAGGACCGCTGGTTCCAGGCCGACGGCCCCCCGGCAGACCAGCTCCTCAACGAGGAGGAGTTCCTCTCCTTCCTGCACCCCGAGCACAGCCGCGGCATGCTCAAGTTCATGGTCAAGGAGATCGTCCGCGATCTGGGTGCGTGCCCGCCCCTG